TGTCTGCCGGAGCCTAACTACCAATTACTGAGCAAATAACAGAAATGAAACTGAAACTAAAGTGCTTTGCCCTTAAGGAACACTGTCAAAATTACTAAACTGTGTAGCTATGGAACAACCCCAAATTCTCGAATGCCAGCCAGAAACATATATAACAGTATAACAGTATGGATTTACAAATTGCTGTTGAGGCTTTTCAGGGCTGCTGTTTCTTTCATTAGAAACTTCCTCCTTGCTGCTTTTTAAATTTAAGTAGATAAGTAGTTTCTTCCTGTTCATTCCTTATGACTTTGGCAGTCCTGAGTTGTCTCTTGATTAGGCAGTTCCTGTTCTTGTTGCTTTGATTTCCCCTTAGTAACCAGTTGCTCATTTATTATATTTTATGAGTTAAATTGTACGAATAAAAAAATAAGACAAAGCAGCGCTAAAGGATCCTAACTGTGCAACTAGGAATGTCATTCACACATTAATCCAGTGTATGATAAAGTTTGTTAAATATATTATTTTAAATTTAAGCCACTTTAAACTGCTTTAATGTTGTAACCTGCTCTGAAACGTTAGGGTGAAGGGTGGTGGGTGGTTGTTGTTGCATTAAAAAATGCAAAATATGAAAATATTAGTACATTAGAGGATGCTAGCACAAGCCAAAATATAATTTGGTATTGCAAGTAAATTATATTTTAGGTTTCTTGTTCAGTTTAGTATGGTACTGAAAAAGATACTTTTTATTTCAAGCAATGCAATTAAAAAAACTTTATGACACATGGCATCTATACCTAGAGGCAAAGAATTAGCCCTGAGGCAGAGAATTCTGTTCTTAAAAATGTATTACACAGTATTTTGTAATTTTCAAAGCTTTACAAATAAAATATAATGATGAAAAAATAGAGGTGATAATAATAGATTAAAAAATCTTATCTTATATGTTTTAGTTTACATGCAAAAGTTGAGATGAGGAAATGTGATGTCATTGAGAAGTGATTCAGAAACAAGAATTAAGCTTCATGCTGTGAATCTGTAGGTTTAATAACCATGTGCCAAAATTACCACACAGTTCCATGTGGATAAGCACATTGGAGACGATGTGGTAAGCAGCTCAGTTACTGTGGAAATGATAGAAGTAAGGTTAGATTTCTTGCTTATTGCATAATTAAAATGGCAGATTTAGGTCTTGTAGTTCGGCAGAGCAAGGAACTAGATGGCAGCTCATATCTTTTATATATCAGGAAGAAGCTTTCTTGTAGAGGCATAGGGATGGCATATGGTCTGGGAAAATGCAAAATTCTTAAGATTTTCTTTCAGAAATTACTTTTGGGCTTGACAAATTGGAGGAGTAAGTAGCACTGCTTCAATTTTGCTAAAAGTCATTTTTCTGAAAGTGTATTAGTTGGCTACTAAATATGACATTGAGACTACAATATTCTACCTACTTGGAAGGAAGCTTCATTGAATCAATGAGTATAGAATTGTGTTCTTAATTACACTTGAATTTATTATAATGATTTCCAGGCGGGTGTGGGCTCAGGGAATAAATGATATCAGTGGAGAAAAATGATGGCATATAATTTAATTATTTATCTGAACCTGCCTCTTTATTCTTTAAATGAAGATTTCAAATGTAGGAGAGATTGGTCATGACCCAGTAGTTCAGGCAGTAGTTCTGTCTGTTAGTGAAAGATGACTTGTTGAATAAAATTAAGCTTCATATGTTTGGCTAACAGACAAAATATAAGATATTTACTACAACTCATTGGTACTAGAAAAATTCAATTTCAGCTTTAGCAAAGTTCTTAGTTCCATAATAAGTTGTGAGATCCTTAAAACTATTAGAAGGCCTGGGCCATTATTGACAGGTGCCAATTCCTGGTAAAATGGTTCTACCACTTTGTAGCTGTGATGCTCAGAAAATTGCCTGGATTCCCCAGTCTCCAAACATTTGTTTTAGTATTTGAATGCAGTTCCATTATAACAAATCTGCAATGCCAGCATAAATTCATGCTTTGTGGTCCCCCCCCATGTGCTTAGACAATATAAATAGTTATTATTGCCGAAGCATCCACAAGATAATATGCACTATCCTGATTTAGAAAAGAAAACTCTCTGGTTTGGCATTCTCTGCAGAACTGAACAGGTGTCAGCTGGATTTATAACTGTTCCAGTACTACCTCAAACTGATTTCCCCTCTTTTGTAAGAAAATCCCAGATTGATACGCAATAGGCCTAGCACTTTGGAGCGTCTGCTGGGAACCAGCAGCAAGTTATGAAAGTGGTTGAGTTGTGCTGTAACTATACGCAACCATATACTTTTTGAATACTCATTTGGTCATTCCCCTGAATCTGACTTGAGTTAACGCTGCTCCCCTCCCTTCAAGCAAGGTGAGTGCCATAAATTATTTATAGTTAGGGGAACCCCATGTGGTTCTGACTTTCTTCAATTCCTTTTGGCATCATTTACAACAGACACTTAGCACAGGTTTGTGAGTGTACAGTGCTTTAGCCATAAGCACTAGTAATATTGTAGGATGTTATTGTTTGGTTTTTCCCTCCAGTAATGAGTTTTGTTATTAAGCTGAATATATAGCAAAATATGGAATTGACTCTGATCTGTTTGCATATTTACAGCTTCATTTTTGCCAGTGGAAGCTTTTGTTGTGGCTATTTAGAGACAGTTATGTGTTTGAAATGCATGTTGGGCTATCTACATATATAGGACTTATCTGTGCAATTTTACATTGTGGCTCAAACTGCTCAGTAGACTTCTGGAACAAATATGTTATAAGGGTTTAATAAACCAGATATTACATATACAAAAAGGGTTTTGCGTCCTCCATGGGCAATATCTCAAGTCTAAGTTACAGAAGTGTAACCAAATAGGGCTGGATTTGAACATTGTGGATCTGTTCATTATTAGAAGTTAAAAATACAAAACTAGACCTCAGACTGAACAGGTAATAACGAAAACCAGCTGAACTATTACTTGCCCTTGAGGCCATATTACCTAGAAGACAGCATATTCTTTGAGTTCAGGAGGTTCTCTGCTCTTTTTGTAGATGTTTATTAATCATATGAAGTCTTCAATCTGTTTAGCATTACAAAATAGACTATTTTTACCATTTTGAATAAACTTACAATATTCTTGCAGGAAAAAATAAAACATTGGCTCTAAATGAAAGTTAGTGCTTTGTTCAAAACATTTTTGCAGCAATAATGTTACTCCACATGTTAATAAATGAGTCACTAGTTCTCTTTGCTGCTGGATCCAGGGACCTTGTCATGTGGTCAAGTACCAGTTAAAGCTTAATGTTGTGCCAAAGCAAGGAACAGTGTATGTGATATTACTCTCTATCCTGTTGTAAAACCTGTTCACTGAAATGGATATAATTATTGGTGTAAGGTAGTGAGCTGCTCCAAATCCCGAGGGCAGCTGTGGCAGTGTGTTGCAACAAAAACAACTTACTTTTGTGGCACCTTGGGCAAACAGGTTTATTGCGGCCTGATAACACTTCATCAGATGCCTTTTCATCTTGTCCAGAAAGGCTTAGGCCACAATAAAGGCTCATCCATGCTTACCGTTGCTCTGACTTCCATGCATGTCTGGACTTTCCAGGTTCATGTTTGACAGCTTATTGTTTTGCCCCAGCTTTTCCCCCACAAAAACCCACTCTTTACTACTGCATTGGAGCAAACCCAATCCACCGAAACCCCAAATTGCTGTTTGCTCCAATTCAGCCATAAAGATTGGGTTTTCACAAGGAAAGCATTGAAGAAGAAGAAAAGATCACTCTGACATAGAGCTTTAGAGAGCGAACTGCGCCTTGAAAGCACAGAGAACAGTAAGTGTGGATAAGCCCTTAATCTGTGCCTCAAGATTCAGCTTGTTCAACAGTTTGTGGGTTCACTTTTCTTTAGTCCGCACACCATCAGACCTTTGCATTAATCTGTTATTCTTCAATGGCCATTTGTCCCTAAACCTTTTTTCCACGATAGTTCAAGAAAATCAACCAATGTCTCACATCAGAGTTGTTTTTAAAGCCCTCTTAATTTGTTTCTACCCCAGGGGAGCTATGTGATGAGGTGATCAACCACTGTGTCCCAGAGCTAAATCCTTGCAAACATGACTCCAAATGTATCTCTTTTGACAAAGAATACAGGTAAGCAAACACATATTGATAGTTTCAGAATGGGCCTTGGTAAACTACATGGGGGAGCATGTATCCTAATTAACAAAATTCCCTTGAGTGTTGTTTTCGAGAAATGCCTATGGAATTCCACATGTGAGGATGAAGTGGAAAGAGGAGTCTGCTCTTTGATCCTGCTTTTTCCAATCTGACACTTCAATTTGACACGGAATCCCCTTTACAGTCATTCTTATCTCACCACTCTTGGTGCTGCCAATGTTGCCTTTTATATCATTGTAGGACGCGGGTGGCGCTGTGGGTAAAAGCCTCAACGCCTAGGGCTTGCCGATCGAAAGGTCGGCGGTTCGAATCCCCGCGGCGGGGTACGCTCCCGTTGCTCGGTCCCAGCGCCTGCCAACCTAGCAGTTCGAAAGCACCCCCGGGTGCAAATAGATAAATAGGGGCCGCTTACTAGCGGGAAGGTAAACGGCGTTTCCGTGTGCGGCTCTGGCTTGCCAGAGCAGCGATGTCACACTGGCCACGTGACCCGGAAGTGTCTGCGGACAGCGCTGGCCCCCGGCCTCTTGAGTGAGATGGGCGCACAACCCCAGAGTCTGGCAAGACTGGCCCGTACGGGCAGGGGTACCTTTACCTTTACCTTTTATATCATTGCAGCCACCGAATCTCTCCATCTCTGGACTTATTCACACTTAACTTTTGTCCACATTTTCCACGCCCAGTCAGCACTTTCAAGCTCTGTGTCAGAGCACTCTTGTTTGTTTTCTCCGGACAGAATGCATCTGAAGAACAGCATCAGGAAATGGAACTGTTCTCACCTGAAAGGTGTTTCTAAGAGGTGTTAAACACATGGTGTGGTGGGTAATGCCTCCATCTTGTTTCAGAAGTCAGATAACACATATGTTTGTCCATTCCTTGTTTCCCTCCTTCTTTTGACCAGTCCATTTTATGACGAGCTATACAAACCTGAGGAGGAGTAGAAGAATTGGGAGTGCACACACATTCCTGCTCTGAGTCAAGACAAGAAATTGATCCAGAGGAGGAGGAGGAGGAGAGCAAGTAACAGACAAAGATCTGTGTTTCCTGTCTTTGAGCATTAGAGGGCAGCATGCATAACCTACCATGCCATGTACTCACTGCTGTTGGAGAACCAGGGTGGCTGGGGAAATAGCAAATTCAGTATTCTTAGTTTTGGAACAAGATGCATTGATAGGAGCATAGCAGGCATCGAATCAAAGGCAAACCGAAGGTAATCTAGATTGAAATATAGTTGGAGAGATGGAAATAAATTTCCAAAAATAAAGGCACAACTCTAAAGCGAGGTCCACAAAAACTAGCTTTGGAATTCCACAGTAGCACTTAACAGAGAATCTTGAACTATAATCCTCTTCAAAGCGAAGAAAGAATGGTAAGTTAAATATTACCGTTTCAATTATCCCTGCATAGCATGATGTCACCATTTATGGAGATAAAGGAAATCTGGTAATTTGTTTCTACTGTAATTAGTAGTTACTTGGGGGAGGGGAATACTTACTCAGCAGTAACAAAACAAATGCAGTAACACAAGGTGGGGGAAATCAGCACCTAGGGAAGTGAAAGCAATAATTTGAAGTATTTTGCTGCACTAACATATTTTGGATCACTTTTATTATTTTGGCCTCCATGGCTGTGATTATTGAAAGGGGGCATTTAAATATATATATATATAATTGCCCCCTCTACATAATTAATTGCAATTTGTTCATTTTTATTTTAAGAATTTCTATGTCATTCTCCGCAAAAATGTCCAGAGCAGTATATACAGTTAACTAACTGAATTCATCTCTCACAGAAATAAACCTGTTGTTCCAATTGCCCAGAATGTACGTATTAGAGTATTGTTATAAATAATCTTTATTATTCTGGAGCTTGGAGTTACTACCTGACAGAATAAAGCACTGATTTAATACAGCTCTTCCAAGAAAAGTGGTGGTTCTATCATTACTGTGATAGCCAATACACATCATAAAAGTGATCCATAGCAGCTTTGAATAGGGACCTGCACATCGTTCATTATTACATCACTTTATATTAGGACAAGAGGGATCGATAAAGCAACAGGATTAAATGCTGCTATTTCCTCCCATAGCATCTTATGATGGATACCGTTTGCATGCCAGCGTGCCTGAAGCATTGCTGAGCTGTTTTGCTATATATTTGCTACATTTTTGAGAAAGAATAGTCCCAGATCTCCAACTTGCTTTTTTTTCTGTTCCAGAGATGATTAATTACAGAATTATTGTTCTGAACGGCAATAGAATTCTGAATTAGTGCCTTCAGACAATTGTTCCTGATTTCTAATGTTTTGTAGATGTTTATGTGATGTGAATGAGTGCAGGATCAGGTATATAGGCTGTGGATGGAGATTATAATGGAGAGCTGATGGTGTACAAACTTGTCAAAAGAGCATGAAATCATTAGATTGTGAGGTAAGCCATAAGAAAGAGAAAAGAGATACACTATTCATAGGAAAATGGTGAATAATGATAAGTGCTCTCAGACATGCTGAAAAGGCAGGTCCTTAGGGAGGATTTAGCAGAAGGTTTTAGTGTTCCACCAAATAGTTCCAGGTAGCACCTTCACAAAGGCTGCTGAGTTCAGAAAATGCAGAGGGAGAATTGCATGCTGTTGAAAACCTATAGGTTACCTGATTTTTTAACACATGTTCCCTAGGTATTCATTTCATTTTTATTTATTCTTTCGTTATTTAAAATTATAAGCCACATTTCCAGTTTAAAAATTCCAAGGTGACTTGCAATAACATTAAAATTAAAAAAATTGAAATTACAGGAAATAAAACAGCAATAGAGGTGGTAGAAGATATGGTTTGGTTGACCTAAAATTCCTGTAATTTTCTCCTCTAGTCAGATGCCTCAGAAGTGTAGGGAATAAGGAAGATGCCAGCTCTCAGGGTCCAGGATTTGAAAGCTAAAACATTTCATTTATCCTTCGGTTATATTAAAAGCCGTTCCCAGTTGCTGTTCTTCTGCAGCTACTTGGTTGTAAAATAGATCCAACTGTGCCAATTTAGAATTTTTGGAATTAAATCGGAGCTTTTGGACCTGTTCTAATGTTACCTGGCTGCTGGCATTCTACCTAAGAGAGCGATTGATTTAGTCTTTGAGTGTCATGTTCCTTCTTCTCTTCCTCTATGCCTCTCCCCTGCCCCTCTCACCAGAGGCGGTTTTAGGATAGTGCGAAGGTTTGGCCACACCTGACACCAGGTTTGGCCACACCCAACAGGGCTGCCACAACAATGCTGTAGAACAGAGAGTAAGAGGCAGGGGCACTGAATTTTGGCATCACACAGGGTGCCACTGAAATTTGAGAGCTCCAAGTCTGACACTGGTCTCACTTTGGGCAAAGGGTAAAGGGACCCCTGACCATTAGGTCCAGTTGTGGCCGACTCTGGGGTTGCGGCACTCATCTCGCTTTACTGGCCGAGGGAGCCGGCGTACAGCTTCCAGGTCATGTGGCCAGCATGACTAAGCCGCTTCTGGCAAACCAGAGCAGCGTACGGAAACGCCGTTTACCTTCCTGCCGGAGCGGTACCTATTTATCTACTTGCACTTTGAAGTGCTTTTGAACTGCTAGGTTGGCAGGAGCAGGGACTGAGCAACGGGAGCTCACCCCGTCACGGGGATTCAAACTGCCAACCTTCTGATCGGCAAGCCCTAGGCTCTGTGCCACAGTGCCACCCACGTCCCACAAATAAGCTGTGATTAGCTAAATGAGAGATCTTCCAGTAACAACTTACCTGCAATGAGGGGAGTAGAAGAGCTAATATCTGAGCCAGCCTTATGCTTCCCTGTTGATCAAATCAAGCAAGTGCTTATGCTCTGTAATAATAGTTAATATTTTGTAATAGCAATTAATAACTTGTAACTGGAGTAGTGCGTTTCCTTGCACATTCAAAAAGGAGAAGACCAACTACTTTTGTTGCTGGTCACTTTAAAGACCATGTCTCTGGTTTAAGTGGTTACTTAAACATAGAAAAGGCATATTCAAAAAGAATAGGCCATCAATTTGCATAAAATTAGCACATACTGATTTTTATTATTTGTATGTATAGATGCAAATTTAGAAATAATTATGATAATCAGAACTATATTACATCTCACCATAGTAGGGGAAACTGTGGCCTGTGTTATCTCTCAGGCTGCTGCTGTCCAGAGGCAACTTCAAGCCCTTGCTCTTCCTTCAAGTGGTTCTTTATCTTTAAACCAGACTTTGACCCAATGGTCCTTCAAATAGGGAACAGGACCACCCTACCTTGATTACAACCTATCCTGTGAAAGTGAGCACAATTCATACAGCTTCAAATGCCTACAGTGTCTGCATATAAAACAAGTCTGATTCTGAAATATGTAGGGTCTTAACTTGCTTTGGGCTACAGGAATGGAAGTGTATAAAACTACCTTCGTGTATCAATATATAACATACAGATGCAAACTACAAATTTAGAAATTAGTAATCCAGATACATTGAAAGACTAGAAATCTGTTTCCCCTGGGTACTATTTAAACACCCATGAAACATAAGTGTCAGGACTGGTCGTTGTCCTCTTCAGATCACCACAGAAACGCTTCTTGTTCTTTTATAAAACTTTTTATTGCGTATTAACAAAACATTCTTATAAACAGTTCTTAACTATTATTCCTCAGAGTCACTTCTTTCAGATACCTTCTGAGCTCTGCTTCTCCATGACCAGCCACTCTCAAAATGGCGAAGGCGCCTTTCCCTTCGCTTTCCCGCTCTTTTTTCTAACCTCCTGGCTAGAGCTGGCTTGTATCTCCCCTCCTCCGAATCTGAGCTAGAACTTAACCCTTGCCTTTCCTGTGAACAGTCGGTCCCTCCCTGTTGTTCCTCTTGCTCCCTTCTATTAGATTCACTGCTCTCCTCCCCCCCTTGGGGAATGCTTTCTCCCTCTGATAAACTGAAAACCTCTAACTCTTCCCTGACAATAAGATGGATCAGTTTCCATATCTATAGATTGTCTAGTCTCTGTCTCTTTTATGCCCTTACTTCCTGTGGCCACTAAATACAACCACATAGTAAGGTGACATGGAGTTATCCCACATATTTCCTCTTAATCTTAATACACCTTTCTTTCCAGCTTTCTGCACCAGTCTTTTTTGCAGTGCAGGAGGAAATCTAGAAGTAAAGAGGCTAGCATTAGAATTAAATAAACTGTTGACATCCAGAGTTCAGAGGTATACGAAAGTACAATCTCCAAAATATGTAACATATGCTAAACTGGGGAAGTAATGGATGTTTCTCTTTTGTTCTGGTTTGAATGATATGCTTATTATTTTCCAGCTGTACAGCAACATCCAGCTGGGAGGTTTGAAATGTGGTTTATAGGCTGAAATACATTCAAGCCAGTCCAAAGCATAGTGTCTAAGATTTTGAGAGACTGCCTAGATTTCCAGAGAGATTTGCTCCCCCTGGCCTGAGACCCTGAATGCCAAGTTTCAGCCTAGAGCACATTTTTTATGGTTGAGTAATAAACCTCGGAAAATAGGGTATATAATGGAAATGCTGACACAACTTTAATACAAGCAACTTAACAACAGTAATAAATATATAATAGCTTATGTTTGTTGTTACTTTGGATCCTCCAGTCTGCTTTCTAGAAATGAGTTGCCATCTGAAGGTGGTGGAATGGCATCAACTTGTTCTTTTATCTTCATATTAAGATCTGAGAAACAAATATTTATTGCTTCATTTCATTATAATTACAGTTCAAATGCAGGCTTATTAAGTGATTGTCATTTCCATAAGATACAATGCTTCACTATACACTACCTTGAGGGAATTATGAAGTTTATCTAAATGTTTTCACGATTTGAGAGACCTGCTTTAAATGACCAAGAACTTGCTTTAAATGGTTATTACTATAAACAGTGATGTTAGTATGTATGGTTACTTATTAAAGAATACGGTTTAACTTCAATTAGTTACAATGGCTTTAACAAAGAATGTTTACACTATTTTGTTACTGTCACGTTAAAATAGAAATTGGGGGATCTTTTTGGCTCCACAGGCCAGATCCTTATTAGGATCTACCTTAGAGAGCAAAATTTGACGGGCAGGTGGGAGTGTCCACCTGTCAGTCACCTGATGTCATAGTGATGCCTTGTGATTGGGTACTTTGAAGTCAGCTGACGGACAGTAGAGCCAAATCTAGCTTTCTGTAGTCATTGGGTGTGTCTGCAAGTTCCCCATGGAAAACTTGCTTGCACACCTGATCTGGCAGGTTTCAGATTTACCTTCTATCCGCTGATGGGTGGTAGAGCCAAAGACTTGTTTTCCATTACCAATGCACATCTCTACCTGCCCCATACCTAACATCACATATGATGTCAGGTGTCGAGCAAGTGGGTGTGGTTTGGTGAAATCAGCCATGCTGCTCAAGTTTGAACATCTAGCGGGCAATGTTTTGCCTGCAGGCAGAGATTCCCCATCATACTTTAAATTATATATATGCAATGCAATATAGGACTCCTGTCACTTTAATATGAATAGCACCGGCAGAAAGGATGCGGACCTTTCTGCCTCCTTCTCCTCTGCAGCCCCTGAAAAGCCTCCCCTGAAATATGGAGGACCCTCCTGGATATAGTGGGCTGTGATGCAATTCCCCGTCAACCTGCAGTGACACAGTCCACCCAGTTTCAGAAGGTTCCCTGACCTTCAGGAGCAGCTTTGGGGAGATTAAGGGCTGCCAGGTGTTGTTGTGACAGTCATCTTTCTGATATCCCCCTTCCATTGGCACTTCTCAGGATTCAAGTCAATATTTGTACTCACCCAGCCTCCTATTATGGGCTGTTGGTATTAAAGGGTTAAGAAGCTCTAGTCAAGACGCTCTAATCACTGAGCAGCTGGAGGTCGTTAGGCTCCCAGAATGTGAGTTTGTATAAATAGTCAACTCACTTGTGTGTTTGCCCCTTCCTCCTTTCTTTTGGGGCGTGTTTGCTGAAATGTGTGGTTCTTCACCAGGGTTTTTTGTTTTGTGTAAATAAACCTTTTATTTGAGTTCCAAACCGCTTGCTCCAAGATTCCTTTATTGAAAAGATGCTGACTCTCGAGCCCTTCTTGAGCCGCTGTGCGAAAAGCTCTGCTGTAATGGGACATTGTGGCATTGGAAGCGCACTGGACATATGCTAAGCATTAAACTAATTAAAGTTTAATGGGACAGGTTATGGTTGTTTGTACGTCAAGAAGGAGATAAGGAGTGCAGTTCAGGGTGATTTATGAAAGGACTGGAGCGAAGACAGAAGCGGTTGCCGACAACAAAAGCCTTCAAAGCAGCTTGAGTCCTGCAACGTGCCTAGAAAAAGTTTTAAACAGGCACTGCGCAGTTTGTACTCGCTGGAAGACGTCTTATTCCTCAAGGAGCCACCTCAGCAGCTGGGAGACGATCTACAGGTGTGTGAGTATCGTTCCTAAGCCCCAGGGAGGATGGCAGAGTCCCAGGAAAGTTTTACTGTCCCCTTTACGCGACTCAATGGGAAAAATTGGCAAGATTGGAAGGCTAGAGTAAGGGTTTGGTTGCAAGCAAAAGAGTTGTGGAGTTGTACTGAAGCACCGCCTTTACAGGCAGCTGCAGACGCGTCTGCAGAAGACAAAGCAGCAGCGGCAGCTTCACAGAAACGTGACAGGAAAGCCCAAGGTCTACTAGTTTTGGCAGTGGGGCCAGAGCAAATGCCTTATGTTTCTGAGTTAAAGAACACGCATGAGGTCTGGACGGTTCTGCAGCGGCTAAATTCCAGAAACACTGCGGGGGCCAAGATCCATGCTACAAGATGTTTGTTTGATTTACGTCTCCAACCGGGAGCGTGTGTGAAAGAACATATTGCCAAAATGGTGTCTGCCTTTAATCAACTAAGACAGCTGGGGATTCCTTTCTCTATGGAGCAGCAGTCATACATTTTGTTGTCTTCTCTTGATAAAAGCTATGAGACTCTAGCTTTAACTTTGGAAGCTATGCCTTCAACTGAATTAACCCTTGAATACATTTCTTCTCGACTTGCAGATGAACAGGATAAAAGGCAAAGAGAAAGAGGTTTGTCTTCAAAGGGGAGTTATGCTGTGCCTAAGAGTGGGGATGCTGAGTTTGAGAACACAGTAAATGCTTTTGCAGCTAGACACTGTTTTCGCTGTGGTTCCTCTTCCCATTTAATCAGGAATTGTACACGTGAACCTGGTCAAGACAGCACCAAGGCCGTTACCCCTAGTTACCAGACAAGGAGTTCCAGGGGACGTCGAAGAAGAGGAGGAGGTCGTGGCTACTCCCACAGCACACAGCACATGGCTTCAGCAATGGCGTTGATGCAAGGGCGTGGCCAAGGCAGCAAACTACGCTGGTTGATCGACAGTGGTGCATCTCACCACCTGGTGGCGCCATCTAGTGTCCGTTTGCAGAATTGCAGACATTTGCAAACCCTTAAAGTTGTGACAATGGCAGATTCAACTAAACGTTCCTTAGAGACCGTAGGCACAGTGTTTTTGAAGTGTTTGCAAACAGAAATTGATGCCTATGTGCTAAAGGGAATGAAGGGGTGTATTTTGTCTGTGTCAGAACTTGATAGAAATGGGTTTAAAACTGTGTTTGAAAATGGGGTTTGCACTATTTCAAAGAATAACGTATCTCTTTTGCAGGTGGAAAGCAGAAATGGGTTATATTATTTTGAGACAAGTCCAGATGAAGTTGAACAGGTTCATGCTGGTTGTGTGAACTCGCCTACCCATAATTCTTGTGTTCATTTATGGCACCGCCGTTTGGGACATATTAATTTTCAGTATGTTAAAAGGCAACCTGAATTATCAGAAGGGTGCAAATTGAACAAGTGTACTAAGTATTTGGACTGTACTGCATGCAAAAGGGCGAAGGTTCATAGATGCAGCTATCCCAGTTCAAATAGGAAATCTGACAAAGTATTCCAACTTGTGCATATGGACCTATGTGGCCCAATGCCTGTTGCTAGCATGGGAGGTTCGAGGTATGCACTGTGTCTTTCAGATGACAAAACAAAAGTCACATGGTTTTTTCCTCTCAAAACAAAAGCAGATACTGCAGAAACAGTTAAAAATTGGGTTCATGCAGTAGAACTTGAATTCGGTACTAGAGTACTTGCTTTTCAGACAGACAGAGGGTCAGAATTCACCGGGTCTGTGTTGCAGAATTTCTTTAAGAAAAAGGGAATTAAGCATCGTCTGTCTACACCTTATTCCCCCCAAGAAGGAGGTGTGGCCGAACGTAAAAACAGGGTTCTGCAAGAGTTGGCAAACTCTATGTTGTTTGATGCTAAACTTCCTCAAAGTTACTGGGCGGAAGCCTGGAAGACGGCTACTCATGTTCTGAACCGAGTATATAATTCAGTAATTGATACTACGCCATATTTTGCTTTATATGGGAAGAAGCCCAAAGTTAATTACTTTCGGGTGTTTGGATCTCAAGCCTATGTACTTATCCCAAAAGCGTTAAGGAAAAAGGGAGGCCCAAGGGCTAGGAAACTCATCTTTTGTGGGTACGAACCACATGCCAAATCTTGGAGGTTCGTGAACCCAGATGGGGATACTACAAGAGTGGTCCTCAGTAGGAGCGCTGAATTTTGTGAGCAATCCGGATGGACTCACTTACATGCTAACCCTGACATTTTGAGAGATGATTTAGGCATTTATGCTGAGAATGAAAGTCCAGAGGGTGATGAGCCAGAAGGGGACGGTGCACATGGTTCAGATGCAGATTCTGACCAGGCACAAGGTTCTTCTCCTAAGGTAGAAAAGCCAGAATCTAAGAGTGTTCCAACATCGCCAGTCAGTAGGCCTAGCAGACAGCAAAAGCGAAGCAGGTCGCCTGCAACACCAAGCCCAAGGGAGGTATCTAAACGGAGGTCTTTATCCCTAGAGGCACGTCCAGACATAAAGTCTGAGACAGATTCTGACAGCCAACGGTCAGAGGGGGCACAAGAGGAGCAATTGCGCAGGTCAAAACGTGCCACGAAGGGCAAGCCGCCAGAGCGTTTTAAGGTGACAAGTGTATACGTAAATATGGCACAGTGTGAGCCAGATAGCTATATGGAAGTACAACAGCTTCCAAGCTCAGAAGCCGTAAAGTGGCAGGAAGCAATGGAAAAAGAGATGGCTTCAATGAAGTCTCTCGGTGTGTTTACAAGTACAGAGCTTCCAAAAGGGCAACAAGCTGTAGGTTGTCGATGGGTATATCGTTTAAAGCCCACAACTACTGAGGAGTTGCAATATAAAGCCCGACTAGTTGCAAAAGGGTTTTCGCAGCGCAAAGGAGTTCACTATTCTCAAATCTATGCCCCTACTTCAAGATCAGAGTCATTAAGAATGCTTTTAGCCTCTTCAGCTAAGAAGGGAAATAAGCTGTTTCATTTTGATGTCAATGTGGCTTATTTAAATGCAGACTTACAGGAGGAAGTCTATATGACGCCACCACCAGGTTTTGAAGGAGACAAGCCAAACCAGGTCTGGCGCCTACACAAATCCATTTATGGGTTGAAACAGTCTGCCCGTAATTGGAATTCCTGCTTAAACGATGCTCTAGAGAGCATGGGGTTCAGAAAGAGCGCAGCAGATGCGTGTCTTATCTAAAAGGCTCGGGATGTGAACAAGAAGCAGTCTTGATATTTGTTGACGATTTATTATACAGTGGAAAGGACGATAAACTTGCACAACAATTTGCCACAAAGCTTGGAGAAAGGTTTCAGATAAAATCACTAGGCAATGTATCTGTTTATCTAGGAGTTAAAATTCAGCAAGATGAAGATGGGAACTATTGGCTCAGCCAAGAAGCTAAGATCCAGCAGTTGCTGGAAAGGTTTAAAATGGACAACTGTGCTGGTGTTAAACCCCAATGGAGTTAAGTTACACAAAGGATGCTCAAACTGAGCAACAGGCAGAGTTCTGTAATCCCGGGGTTTACCAGTCAGCGATAGGCAGTCTACTCCACATTGCACAGTGGACTCGGCCCGATATAACATATGCTGTCAACATGCTGTGTAGACAAGCTGAAAAACCATCAATGCATGCTTGGCAAGGAGTAAAAAGAGTTTTAAGGTATCTCCAAACTACCAAAAGGTTTTGCTTAAAACTATCAGCAGAGGGCAGCACACAACTTGAATGTTGGGCCGACAGCAGTTGGGCAGATGCTGGACCAGATAGAAAATCAGTGTCAGGAATGGCGATAAAATTTGGAAATGCACTAATTGGTTGGAGATCAAGAAAACAATCACTTATAGCTTTAAGTTCAACTGAATCTGAGTTCAATGCATTATCAGATGTATGTAGAGAACTGGAATTTTATAAGCAACTGGTACAAGAATTGTTTGGAGAATGTTCCCTACCTATCAGAGTGTGGGAAGACAATCAACCTTGTATTAAACTAGTAAATCAGGTCAATTCAAGGCACACACAAAACACTTTTGGAATATAACATTTGCAAATGTGATTAAAAGAATTTATTATTTTTACAACTGTATTCAGAAAGCTGGCAGAAGCAGACACTCCAGTGCTTACCTGTTTAATTTTGTGTGGAATAGCATAGCCAGCATCGCTGCTAATGTTTATTTTTTATCAATAACCTGATAGTTTGGATCTGGTTCCTTTTCTGTGTCTGAAGGGTATGTATCCATGTCCTCATCCTCACAACAACTGCCTGATACTTCCAAAGACTGCCCAATGCTCCTGTCAACCATTGCTCTTCCAGTTGTGACTGCAGGCAGAAAATGCATTAAGGGATATGAGTCACATACCCTCTCAAGTCTCCAAACCCTCGGGTCCCTTCCTACTCCACAATTCTATGATTTCATGAGTCTTGGGTATGTGTGATTTCCATACCCTTCTTCTCATGTCCTGAAGATCAAAAGCATCTGATCTGGATTTTAAATTACCCACAATTCCATAAGATGTCCCAACTGTAAACAAACTCATTTGTTTAAACTATGGTTTCAGATCCTAGCTTGTTCTCAAACCATAGCTTAAACAAATCACAAATGGAAAACAGATGCTTTCTATTTTCTTCTTTGGAAAGCAAGAGAGATAGAGGAGAGGGTGAGAATCCAACACTCACACAGGAACATTCATGTTTCTTATTATGTCTGAAGTGGGCTATAAAATCTTGGACTCTTTAACCAGAGGAAATAAAAGTTCTATTACAACTTTTCCAACAGTTCTCATCAATACATGCATTATATCCTACCGCATTCGCAGCTCAGTGACTGTGGCATATGGCTCAATATAATTTTCTTGATCTTGCAAGTAACTGGCATCACTCTCAGAAAGAGATCGTTGACGTGGCTGAGGATGGCAATGGTCCGTCCAGTTAGGGTTGTCACAAGAATAGCTGCGGCCAGAGCGGATCTGGAAAATAAAAATAAATACATATTTAAGCGTTTACAATGGCTTAGAACATTTTATCTCATTTCTGACAGGAATAACCTAAATGTTATTGTGTATAAGCAACAGAAGCTGCAAAATAAATATAGTGGAGTGGGCAAACTGCCACCTTTCCTTTCCATTTTTGGTAACATACCTTGAATCATTAGGAGCTTAAAATGTAAAGCCCTATTTTGCAATCAGATGTGGACCGAATTAAGTCTTCAAGGTAATATCACGTGCCTCCCTCTTATCAACTATGGGAAGAAAGGAGCCTTGCACATACTGGCTAGTTTTTTCAGCAAACTATGCTCATGCATCTGTGGGGCACTAAATCACAGGATCAGGCCATCTCCTCACCCTTCTTTCTTTCTTTCCTTACCTTGAAGAACAAAATGTGAACAAAATGAACCTCTGAAGCCTTTTCTGGACTGTACCACTTCACCCAGCAGGCAGGATGCTGTGTATCTGAATACTGGCTCACAATTTTCTTTGTGAAGGAAAGGATTGCTTTTTTATGTTGAAGAACATTCAAGCATGAAACCTGTGTCTGAAGGATTACAGTCCAAGAAAAGCTCCACCACCACTTGATTCTCCTACATGCCTACTCAGAAATAAGTCTTACTGAACTCAACAGGACTTACTTTCAGCCCTGATTGTATAAATTTGCTAGAAGATGCTGCTGTTTGTGAGCGTGATTTTGAAAAGGTAAAAAAGGGAGGAAGAAAGGTGAGATTAAAAAATAATCAGAAAGCAAAATGAAGAAACAGTGATTCTTTTAAAAGTCAAAACAAAAGGTTAATAATGTTTTTAAAGGATTGTATTTTACATTAGTACATTTTTCTGGGTTAAAATAATTTAAAAACAAAAGCATTTCATTACTCTTATTTGTCAGATAAACAATAATAATCTTTGTAAGTGATCTCTTGAAAACACTGATGTTAAATTTAATTTTATATAGGGCTGCAACGTGATTAAGAAATTTTAACTTAGTCCCACAATTTATCAATTAAATTTGCATGTAAAACAATATTTCTGAAGCAAGAAGCAAACTTTCTATGTTTTTAGCAAATGCACACATGTATTTCTCATGTGTGAGAGAGAATATATATCTCCATTGATGGCCTGATTGATCAGCAGCACTTTTAGTCAATTATTTTTAATCACTTAATCCAACTGTAATCTGCACAGTCCCCTCACACATTCTTTGAATGTGTGAGGAATGTTGTTTGACCCCTTCTAACGTAATAGAAAACAAAGCTGCAGTCTTTATTATAGTATTAGGGAATCATCTTCAACCATTTCCACTGTGATCAATACAAGCACACCAGTGTAATGTATACATCAACTAGTTCTTGCAAAGGACGGAGAGTTAAAAAAAAAAAAGCCATATATTTGTGCTGCTAATTGGACTGTTCTGATCATTGCTTTTTTGTCACTCATCAGTTTTTTTTAGCCATCCTCATTACCAATTTAAAATTAATTTATAATTAACATGTTCAAATGGTTAATGACTTCAAAGCTGCAACCCTACATATTATTGGAATGTATTAGGTTTATGTTACAGCTGCAAGCAAGAGAGAGGCATGCATTTTAAATATATATCTATATATATTCTATGCAATGAATGGTAATCAAGAGATGAAAAACATTAAGACCTACCTGGGCCTTTCTGGAGAAGGGTTTGGACTACGAGGGGGAGGGGTGCGGGGGACGGCAGCTTTAGGTGCTATGGTAGCTGCAGGATCAGGCCATGAGCTATATGTTTCTAGACAATTTAAAATAAAGTTAGTTGGCAATGACTGACCAAACACAATGGAGAAACACAAAACTAAGTATGCACAATGACTCGAAACAACACAAAAGGGGAGAGAAATTACATGCAAATTAATGTACGTATTGGATCCAGGGCCATAGCACTAAAGAACAGGAGCACTCAATATTGCAGCATGGCAACTGAACAATGAAAGTGCAAAACACATGTATTTGGAACAAATGTTGCAGTCCTGTCTGTATTTACTTAGAAGAAAGTTCCTTTGAAAACAGTGGTACTTAACTGCTAAGTAAATATGCAAAGAATTGTATTATTAGGTCTCATTAATTTCATACTTTTAAGTATGTGAATAGAATCCAAAGAGGACTCAGTGCACTTAGTTATATATATAATTTTACTTCATTTTAAAAGAGAATACTACTATGCTATATTACAAACTGGTTTGAAACTCCTCTTGGGAAACTGCTGTGAAAGGAAAACAAGCCTGAAATCTTCTGGGTGAGCAAAACTGGCTTGAGAGTTCTTAGATCCTTAGAGACAGAGACTTGACATGTTTCATATGAAATATTTAACCACTTGAAAGCCATATTGCTGAGTACAGCTGTTGGCTTTAACTGGCTTTTTTTCAGGATACAACCAAAGCTTTCATTTATTGAAAGTAGGCAGTCACTTCTAACTATCAGGGTAGTGAGCTATACACATTTCTATTTTAAAGGCCATTTACAGAAGCATATTCTGTTCCCTGCCCCACTCCCATAAAACTGCAATATTGTACAGCCTTACACATCCATCAAATACTTCTGAGTAAGTATGCACAAGAATAGGGCTCACTTGCATGTTAAGATAAACCATAGTTATTGCTACTGTATTATATTTATTACCCACCCTTCACCAGAAGCAATATAAAATACAGTATTAAAAGCAACTTAAAACAAATTGCAGTCACTACTAGGTTGTGTCTTAGAATGCTATATCTCAAAAGTCAAATATCTGGGTAAAGTGTTGTGTCTTTAGTATACCATGAAAGTTGTGCCATGAACGTGCCAGACATACCTCTGTGGGGAGAAAATTTGACAGCTTATGAGCTGCCACTGATAATGTGCTCTCCTCAGTTACACACAACCTTGAACCTCTGAGTGTGATGGAACTACCAAGATCAGCCCCTCTTAACACCTGAGAGGGTCTGCACCTTAGTGGTCTTTTAGATATTTGGGGGCTATGTTGTTTAGGGCTTTTAAACACTCGCATGAGAACCTTAAACTGGGCTGGAAACAAGCTAGCAACCAGTGCAGCTGTTTTAAAACAGAAGTTATACGAGTTCTAAACAGGACTCCATCCAGTAATTTGGCCACTCCATTTTGGAACAGTTTAAGTTTCTGAGTTGTTTTCAAGGGCAGCCCCATGTAGAGCACATTGTATTAAGGCAGTCTGGAAGATATCAGAACATGGACTACAGTGGTGACACAACAGGACAATTACCATACTGGTCTTGCCCATTCTGCTTCCTGCAGCTAACATGCAACAGAAATAAACCCACAATTCCTGGCAACAGATGCAATACTGGTCAAATATTCAAAAAGTTGCAATTATTGCCACAAAGCAATTATCAGTGGTGTGTACTTTGAAACCTGTGTTGCTAGTTTCTTATGTTGGATTGCTTATTGTTATAGATCTGGGGGAATCCCCCTGGCCTAAACCCTAGGAATGAATAAATATTATGATCTTGTAACAACATTTTTTAAATAAAAACATTATTTTTTTCTGGTCACTGTTCATAGGAAGCATATTTATATTAAATGCATGGCTCTTCAGGCATGGTAAAGTTAACACCCAAAATGTTCAGTTGTATTTTGATCTTGGATGAAGAAGATTAAACAGGATGACTGTCCTGGAAATGCTGCAACAACAGTAATAGCTTAATACGGATGTCCACCCAGTGTGGGAAAGGAGCCATCCAACTTGCAGTATCGCTCTGCATACAGGAAGTCCCCCGGGGCCTCTCCAGTTAAAGCAGATCCTGAAGCAGCAAAGACTGGGAAATAACTTTGCCCTAGTCCCTGAAGCACCACCACAAGTCACAGTAGGCAAAGGCGGACGAGGTGCATGACTCTACGTATAGAAACTTCATGCCTTAAAAAAATTACACTATTCGCATGAGAACTTCCCTTTCTAGAGCAAAATGTCTTGTTTCTAGACTTATTCTTAGGTTACTGGCGTGTCCTGAAGACACAGAACAGGGACATTGCTAAGTATGCAAGGCTTTCCTCATCTCTCCCCTTCGGACAAGTTTTCCAGTGGGACGAGAGTGGCAGAGGAAGAGCTTCTCGGTCGCCATGGCAACCGGCGCCCCTGACCAGACACGGGGGGGGAGGCGCGGGGGGGGACTACCCTTCACCGAACCAGCACCAGACCCCGGCCCTGATACTCACGAATTGGCCCCTCCGGCCGCTCCTGAAGCGAAGCGCCATGTATGCGGAAGAGGGTTGAGCAGCGTACGCAGAAAAGGACGGCGAGGGAGAGTCTTCGCCGCCGCTGCCGCCGCCGCCTGGAAGCGGGGAGAAAGAAGCGATTCCGCCCGGGCAGCAGAGACGCTTCCCCTCTCGCAACCACGCCGGAACAAGCCGCGCGGCGATTGGCCAAGGCCTCCCGCTTCCACCAATCGCCGCTCGCTTTACTACTTCCGCCTTCCCTTAGCAACCGGGCAGCCGTTGAAGGAGAAGCCCCGCCCACTCCTTCTCTCGTCGCTCGCTCGCTCGCGCGCATCTTTTCGTTTTGTGTTTTGACGGGGGGGGAGCTTTGAGTTGCGATTGGCTGGTTGGCCCGGTGTCCGTCATGCGCAGAGCGCGCGCGCTGCTCAAAGTTGGGGCGCGTCTGTCTCTCTTTCTCTCTATCTCTCTCTCTGGAAGCGGAGCTGGCGAGGATTGGGTGGGTTTTGTCGGGAAGGGGGGGGGTTCTTTAACCTCCACCCACCCTCTTTTATTGCAGGATACAGTGGTACCTCAGGTTACATACGCTTCAGGTTACAGACTCCGCTAACCCAAAAATAGTACCTCGGGTTAAGAACTTTGCTTCAGGATGAGAACAGAAATCGTGCTCCGGCGGCGCGGCGGCAGCAGGAGGCCCCATTAGCTAAAGTGGTCTTCAGATTAAGAACAGTTTCAGGTTAAGAATGGACCTCCGGAACGAATTAAGTTCTTAACCCGAGGTACCACTGTGGCTGTTGCTGGGTGGGCGCCTGTATTTTCAGCCCTGCGTGTGGCGTGATCTCTCTCCTGCCTTAAAGCAAGGGTCTCCCAACCAGGGTTGGATTTAGGTTTGATGAGGCCCTAAGCTACTGAAGGTAATGTCGCTGTTTTTTTGTGTTGAATATATAGGTAAAGGTAAAGGGATCCCTGACCATTAGGTCTAGTCGTGACCGACTCTGGGGTTGCGGCGCTCATCTCGCTTTATTGGCCGAGGGAGCCGGCGTACAGCTTCCGAGTCATGTGGCCAGCATGACCCAAGCCGCTTCTGGCGAACCAGAGCAGCGCACCAGGAAACACCGTTTACCTTCCCACCGGACGGCGGTACCCTATTTATCTACTTGCACTTTGATGTGCTTTTTTGAACTGCTAGGTTGGCAGGAGCAGGGACCGAGCATCGGGAGCTCACCCCGTCAAGGGGATTCAAACCGCTGACCTTCTGATCAGCAAGTCCTAGGCTCTGTGGTTTAACCCACAGCGCCACCCGCGTCCCTGTTGAATATATACTATAGGGTAATTTATGGACCTAATAGGTATCTAAAAGCCATTTGCACATAACAAAAAGCTAGCAGCCGGGCCCATTATTTACATCATAGGAGCCTACACAACACAAAACACTGTTGCTGTATGTAGGTTTTATTTTATTTGTTTATATCTTATATTTTGGAAATGTACCTTTTTTTTCCTTTAGATTTTTTTGGGACCCCCATTGATTAGCTTATACATAAATTCGGCACCGCTGCCAAACTTTACTGGACAACCCGGGTGCACATTTTGAAAGATGGCAGCAGGTACAGAGGGTGTGGGAGAGGAGAATAGTCACAGGACAGCTGCCATGATGTATGTGGCCTAAAACACAGCCACTATGTAGGGGGGAGGCATGGCACCATACAAAATTGGAGAAAGCGCAATCATGGTGAAGCTTTTCATATAGCTGTACTGCATTTCCCATATTTTAAAAACTGCTCGACCTGACGAATTTCTGGCTAGAAAATAAGAAAGTGTGTTGAAGGGAGGTGAAAAGCAGCAGCTCTTGAGAAATAACACACCTACCAATTGCAGCTCAGACTTCTCTTCATAAAGCAGGCAGGAACAGTTAGGTTTCCTACTCTCACAAAAATCAATTAGAAGGGTACCTGCATGTTTTGCTTTGTAACTTTCTGTGGGGAGGTGGGCTAGATTTTTTAAAAAAGAAAACAACATCTGGAACCTCTGCTTGGTGGTGCCAAATAAATGCCATTGTAGGCACTTGGGTTGGTGACCCCTGGTTTACACATTCCTATTCTTTTGTGTCCAAAATTGTGGCTAATGCAGGGCTTTACAAATGGAGTATATACCAGAAAGAAATAAAAACCTCTGACAGATTATTTGTTTATTAACCCAACAGCCCAGTGCCCATATGCCAATGCTTCTGCCATCTCATGAATAATACCTTGTTGCCTTATTTTCCTGTGTGTTTTATGACAGGTGTTTACAAAACGAAGGAGGTCAGTGATGGCAAATGAAGGCACTGCTGTCCGACTAGGAGCCGTTAGTGTTCCCTTATGGGCATGTGATTGGCCATGAAAAATGGAAAGGCTCTCTGGTTGCTCAGGGGATACAAGGTAACCGTGTCAATAGAAAACAGAACATTTGTGAAAATGTAATTAAAATACAAGATCTGGATAGGGAGTTAGACTAGAATACTTTAAGCCAGATTTTTAAAGTCAGTTTTGATCTTTGTAAGGTGCACCTTGCCCATGAGAGGCTGTAGCCGCTAAATATAAGTGGGAGTAAATTTTATTGAAATTAATGGAACTTTTTATAAATAAATATTAATATTGGATAGGTAGACAAGGTTTCACCCGAATTCATATTTGATGCTCTCTTATAGTTATCTTGTTACTAAAATCTTGTGTCTCTTATTTCAAGGGAAAGTTAAACTAATTCTAGAAGATGGCCTGGGAGTCGTAGACTTCCATCTTTCAAACAGATCCTGTGTCCTTTATATTTCTGAAGCAGACCTGGTTGCAGGAAATGGCTTCAAAAGGAGACTTGTTCGCTTTAGAAACGTAAGTGTTGCCTGAAATAGCTGGTGTTCGCCTGACTCCCCATTTATAGAACTTCCATCAGCAAGAATGTCAGGGCAATTTTAACACAGTTCAAGGATAGAGACCTCTCTTCTACTCAGCGCACACTGATGGTACTATATCTGATGCTAAATATAGCTAGAAAACAACCCTTTCATGTAGTTTTATCTTTATCTGTCTTGTTTCAGAAAACTTGCAGTTCTTCCTGCCCCCTGGATTTGCTAATTTCATTTTCTGTTTTAATTTTATTCTCCACCTTCTTAAACTGGATGATTCACATATTTATTAGTAGGTGAAGCTTTTCATATTATCTCCATACCAGGAAATGCTTTATCTGTTTGATTTCTTCATAACCCGAGATAACTGGTTAGCCACTGTTAGAAACAAATACTGAGTGTGACACAGTGGTCAATTGACGATGTTGGGTGTATCAGGCTGCTGTTAAAGGTGCAGGAGCAGAACCTAGAACGAAGTGGCAGCCATAATCTTTTAAATAAGTTCACACCTTTAGGCTGATAAATAAAAGCATGTCAGCAGCCAGGTGTTGTATTAAAGGGTTAAAGAAGCTCTAGTCAAGACGCTCTAATCACTGAGCAGCTGGAGGTCGTTAGGCTCCCAGAATGTGAGTTTGTATAAATAGTCAACTCACTTGTGTGTTTGCCCCTTCCTCCTTTCTTTTGGGGCGTGTTTGCTGAAATGTGTGGTTCTTCACCAGGGTTTTTTGTTTTGTGTAAATAAACCTTTTATTTGAGTTCCAAACCGCTTGCTCCAAGATTCCTTTATTGAAAAGATGCTGACTCTCGAGCCCTTCTTGAGCCGCTGTGCGAAAAGCTCTGCTGTAATGGGACATTGTGGCATTGGAAAGCGCACTGGACATATGCTAAGCATTAAACTAATTAAAGTTTAATGGGACAGGTTATGGTTGTTTGTACGTCAAGAAGGAGATAAGGAGTGCAGTTCAGGGTGATTTATGAAAGGACTGGAGCGAAGACAGAAGCGGTTGCCGACAACAAAAGCCTTCAAAGCAGCTTGAGTCCTGCAACGTGCCTAGAAAAAGTTTTAAACAGGCACTGCGCAGTTTGTACTCGCTGGAAGACGTCTTATTCCTCAAGGAGCCACCTCAGCAGCTGGGAGACGATCTACAGGTGTGTGAGTATCGTTCCTAAGCCCCAGGGAGGATGGCAGAGTCCCAGGAAAGTTTTACTGTCCCCTTTACGCGACTCAATGGGAAAAATTGGCAAGATTGGAAGGCTAGAGTAAGGGTTTTGGTTGCAAGCAAAAGAGTTGTGGAGTTGTACTGAAGCACCGCCTTTACAGGCAGCTGCAGACGCGTCTGCAGAAGACAAAGCAGCAGCGGCAGCTTCACAGAAACGTGACAGGAAAGCCCAAGGTCTACTAGTTTTGGCAGTGGGGCCAGAGCAAATGCCTTATGTTTCTGAGTTAAAGAACACGCATGAGGTCTGGACGGTTCTGCAGCGGCTAAATTCCAGAAAACACTGCGGGGGCCAAGATCCATGCTACAAGATGTTTGTTTGATTTACGTCTCCAACCGGGAGCGTGTGTGAAAGAACATATTGCCAAAATGGTGTCTGCCTTTAATCAACTAAGACAGCTGGGGATTCCTTTCTCTATGGAGCAGCAGTCATACATTTTGTTGTCTTCTCTTGATAAAAGCTATGAGACTCTAGCTTTAACTTTGGAAGCTATGCCTTCAACTGAATTAACCCTTGAATACATTTCTTCTCGACTTGCAGATGAACAGGATAAAAAGGCAAAGAGAAAGAGGTTTGTCTTCAAAGGGGAGTTATGCTGTGCCTAAGAGTGGGATGCTGAGTTTGAGAACACAGTAAATGCTTTTGCAGCTAGACACTGTTTTCGCTGTGGTTCCTCTTCCCATTTAATCAGGAATTGTACACGTGAACCTGGTCAAGACAGCACCAAGGCCGTTACCCCTAGTTACCAGACAAGGAGTTCCAGGGGACGTCGAAGAAGAGGAGGAGGTCGTGGCTACTCCCACAGCACACAGCACATGGCTTCAGCAATGGCGTTGATGCAAGGGCGTGGCCAAGGCAGCAAACTACGCTGGTTGATCGACAGTGGTGCATCTCACCACCTGGTGGCGCCATCTAGTGTCCGTTTGCAGAATTGCAGACATTTGCAAACCCTTAAAGTTGTGACAATGGCAGATTCAACTAAACGTTCCTTAGAGACGTAGGCACAGTGTTTTTGAAGTGTTTGCAAACAGAAATTGATGCCTATGTGCTAAAGGGAATGAAGGGGTGTATTTTGTCTGTGTCAGAACTTGATAGAAATGGGTTTAAAACTGTGTTTGAAAATGGGGTTTG